TCCCTGCCTTGGATATCCTGTCCAAACACCCTGGAGAGTCACAACACATCAGCAAGTTATCTGGTAACATGAAGGTTCAAGGAAGCTTCTTATCTGAAGGCAAAAACCATGTTTTAATAGTGGTAGCGATATATAGAAAAGAAATCATTCCAAAAGGGCAATCTCCTTGATTTCAAACTGTGTTTTGAAAGCTGAGGAACATGGACATGACCAGACAATACCAGCTGGTGAAAAAATGAGCTCTGAAATAGTGTTAATGTGCCCAGGGCGAACTGCCCCATCAGTGACAGTAACAAACCTACCTACTTGCCCTACTTTGAGGAAAAAAAGGGCCTGCTCTTGCATTTGCATGTGACTGCTACACCAAATGACTTCTACTGAGAAATCAACTGAAAGGTAACTAATTTCAGAAAGTGAACAATAGTCTGAAATTATGTGATTAGTTACCACACCTGATACATACACATGTTATTAATTAAAACTGTCCCTAACTGTTAAGGAAACATCGGATTTTAGCGCCGTCAAACTTCAGCCAGAGATGAGTGACACTTTTCAGCTCAGACTTCACATACAAAATAGCTCAGTATCTTAACAGGGGTTAAAGATTTGTACTGGAAACAAAGTCCATGGGGCACAAAAAGCCACTGCCAGTAGAATACAAATAAGTCTATGCAAGGAAATTTTCCTGGCAAGAAAAGCTAAAACTTTAACTCAACGTTCTAATGAACTTTAACACCAGTCTTGAGTAGTTTTGTTACATTTTTCAAAGTAGCCACTTTGAGGCAAGTGCACCGCAATTTCCTTGTGCAATCTAATCCTGGGCAGCTTGAAGTATCGAGATGCCCATGCAGCTCTTCTAGAGTGAGCCCAGCCCCTAGGAGCCCTTCTTTAGTCATCTGAAGGAGTGATCATTAGGATGCTGCCATCAATATCCCTGCTCCATTTGCTGGTATTCCTGTGTCCACCCTGTGACACAGGCAGGAATTAAGTGTCATTACTCCAGACAGCATCCAACTGCCTTTCTCCTCCCTCTATCCCACAGTTCCTCCATGCTTTCTGACTGGCAGGACAACAGAGGCAAGGCTCTTACAGCTTCCAACACTACTGCTTTCCACTCAGGAAGCAGATCTATCCTAAGCACTCAGTGCTGTAGGGATGCATGGGAATAGATCACACAATTTAAGTGTTGCAACACACACTGACAAAGGGCACAGATAAAGAGCATGAGGTTTTCTAGCCAGAGGGAAACACTCTAGCATTTGCACAAGCAGAAAATGTACCTATACAACGGCTTTGGTCCTATATTTGACCCTCCTAAGCACAAGATTTTTAAATACCTACATAAAATTTGCAAGGGAACTCAGCAGTTTTCAATATCAGCACATGCACAGCTGTATGCAGCCAGATGCACTAAGGCACTGCTTTAGCTCCAGCTTATGGGGCATGAGCTCCCATGAGCACCCAACTGAGGGCAAATTTATTAAGGCAAAGAAAGAAAAAACAAAAAAAAACTAACTTGAAGAACAAATCACTGAGCTCTAAAACTGGAAGATCCAAGAAATCCAAGCTAACTTTTCATTACTGCAATGTATTAGGCTATTTAAATATTCTTCTAGTGACACAACAAATTTTAGAAAAATGACATCTCACAAACTGTGTGGTTTTGCGGTGCACGTGCCATTGGCTAACTCATAGGCATTATGCACAGGTTTGTAGACGTCCATTCCACTTCTCCAGGAGAAATGCTACCATTTGGAACTTGCACCTGCCTTGTATAAACAGTGATACTGAGCTATGCTGATCAAGGGTTTCCACAGCAACAGACTTATGCTAAAAGCAAGCAAATGCAGTTCCTTGGCAGTACTGCTTTAATTACAATTACAGTAGCTGGTGCATAACCATCTCTGCTATCCAAAGAACAAACACTTACAGTATCTTTGTAGGGCCTCACACCATTTACAATTTCTGAACACTTAGATATGAATTGACATTTTACCAGAGAAAAATGGTAAAATTTTTCCTCTTCCTCTTCCTGTTGGCAGTTTTCCAGCATGGCTTTCTATACATACATAAAATAATTAGGCCAGCATTCATACAACAAAATGCTAGGCACACAGCTAAATCACTCTTTGTAACCCATCCACCTGAAACTCCTTTGGGGTAGCACCTATAGGGAATGCCCTAAGTCTCTGGGATGCCAGTGTTTCCCTTGTGACCTCAGGATGAGCCTTTGACTAACAAGTTTTTAACTGAGGTACCTCAGTTAAATGCCTAAAGACAAGGGTCAGGGAATCTAAACTCCTACATCTCACCAGCTCTGAATGGGCAGCGTGCATAAAAAATACTGATGCATACAGTAGTTGTGATCAAGAAACACCAAAGTGCATGACTGAGGCTCTGAGATGCAGCTGCTCACTCAAGCAAGAGCAAAAACACTAGAAGTAAAAACAAATGAGCAAACATGACATTCTATGAATACAGAAAATCACAGTTCATTTGCCAGATGTGTAATGCATAGTCTTTGATATTGTGTCATCTTTTCCTAAGATTTGTTTTCATCAGTGTTTAGCAGAATAAAAGCAGAGCTTTTGTTATGACCATTCCTGGCCTCCTGTGTAACGCATGGCAGAGGATTTCACATTACAGAACAGTCTGGATTAGAAGCGACATTAAAGACCACCTAGGACAACTCCCCTAGCATAAACTGGGGCACCTTCCAAGGTGTTCAGAGCCCCATCCAACCTGGCCTTGAACACTTCTAGTGATGGGGCATCTAAATCTCCCCCAGGCAACCTGTGCCAGTGCCTCACCACCCGCACAGTGAAGAACTTCTTCCTAATAGCTCATCTAAACCTAGTAACACCACTGCACCTTGTCTTGTCAGTACAGGCTCTGGTTTGAAGTCTATCTCACTTAAGCAGACGGTGAGAAATACCCGCAGAGAAAAGACACAGAGGTACTGAACTTTTACACTCCAATTTCTGCATAAGAAAATGTGAAGCCTCACACAATCTTGAAAAGCACATGAGAAAGACAGTGCTGAGAGGGAAGGGGGTGAAAAAAAGAGGCCTTCTTCAGTACCTGCAGTTTCGGACGGGGTTTTTCTCGGGGAGCTTTACAGGCACGCTTATCCTCTCCATGTCCCCGGCCTCCAAGACCAAGTGCCCGTTGTCACAGCTGGTGGAAACAAGGACGAGCCGCGGCTCCTGGCGAGCTGTCACCATGTGTCCGTCCTCCCTGATGACGAGCCAGAACCTGCGGTGGGACGGGGCACAAGGGCGCCCAACAGCGTTAATTCGGGGCTCGGCAACACCCGCACGGCAGGCGCTCCTTCCCAGCGCTCGGGAAAACAAACACCCGACAGCCGCGGAGCCACGCGGGTGCCCCAGGGCCCGGCCCGCCTACCTGTCCCGCAGCTCCCCGCTGCGCAGCCCCATCGGCGTCACCTGCGCCCGCCGCACCGACACCCCCCGGCACGACTTCACCGGGTACACGAAGAGCCTGAGCACCGTCCCGACCCGCTGCAGGCGGCGGCGGCGGCGCGGGCCGGCCCAGCGCCAGGCCCCGAGCAGGGCGCCCAGCGCCAGCAGCGCCGCCGCCCCCCACAGCCAGCCCGGCCGCGCCGGGCCCGCCGCTCCCCACGGGCCGTTCATGGCGACTGGGCCCCGCTGCGCGCCCGGAGCGGCTGTGGGCGGGGCGGCCCGGCCCGGCCCCTCACACCGCCCCTCACACCGTGCTTCACACTGTCCTTCACGCCGGCCTTCACACCGGCCCCGCCCGGCGAGCCCGGAGCCCCGCCGAACGCCGACCCCCGGTGCGAGAAAGGGGGCGGCGCAGCGGGGAAAATACACGGCCGAGCGCCCGGCTTGGCAAAGCACCGGCGGATGATGTTTTCTGTCTGATATCCGGGCATTTAGTGAAAGCAGTGCTACAGGAAGTGTGGGCTGTGTGGGAATACACGAGTGCGTCAAATGCATGCGTTTGGCTTGGCTCGGAGAAGAGAGGAACAGGTGGCTGGATGGAGGCGTGGAGGGCAGCAAGTGGGGTGTCCAGTGCTGTTCGGCTGCCTTGGGACATCTGCACACCCCAGCTGCCTGGTACCGAACTCCTGAGACCCCTCCCGAGAGCTTCCTGTTTGTTGGCAGGGTCTCAGGGAAGTACTTTTGTGGGACACTGTAAGAGACGGTCCGAAGATTCTCTCATCTGCCTCATGACTGCTGCAAGGACACTAAAGACCCTGAATATCACAAGGGACTCGGTACAGGGGTTCTGGTCCAGTTGAGGTGGATGTTTGCCAAGTGATTGTTTGCAGGTGGGTGCTGTGCTGTCACGGTACACTGCCCTCGTTCCTGCTGGTGAGCAGAGACTTGTAAGAAGTGGTTTGCTCTGTACCCTACACCTGCACCCCTGAGCAATGGGTTTCATCACAATGGTCATCAATCTCCTCTGGTTTTGGCCCTGTGCCCCTTGCTTTGTAAAAGACTATAAAAGTACACCCCAAACTTACCTTCCCTTGAGATCTCCCCAATGGACAGAAGACTGTGTTGACTAACAGCTGAGCAGACTTTGACGTTGGTAGCTATAATCCCCTTATTCTCTTTTTCTTATGCTTTGCTTTCTCTTCTTTTCCCTCTATCACGTATTAGTGCTAATGAGCACTCAATAAAGTGTGTTTTACTGTTTGAGTCCCTGGTTTGCTGATAACCTTTTGTACTCTAAGATTAAATAAATGAACCACATCACAAATCCCACCTTGTGGATCGTGACAGATACCCAGCTGCAAGGCAAATATGACATCAAATATAGGCTGGAGTGGCAAATGCCACTGTTGCCACAGGTCTGTCCTCACAAAGCAAAGCAAGAGCTTTGGGATCTGATGGCCAAATTTCACAAACTGGTTTATTTTTATGATGAGTGTGCTGAGAGCAAAATTCCAGAAGGTAGAAGATGGGGAAGCTCAGTGTTGGGCATTTCTGGGAGATTCAGACAGCCCAGCCACAATGGATTACTGGAAGTACTCCATCAGCAGCATCCTGGTGGAGAGGGACACTGAAGATGTGGCTATTGTGGGCCTTTTTTGATAATGGGTACATGTGGGCAATCAAGCCAGGCGAGTTCCTAGCATTCACCTCACGAATCACTTGATCACAGATCAGGATCAGAAAATGTTCCGACTGTGGGAATCACCATGGATTGTAAAAAGTATGGTGGGATTTATGAAAACCTGGTGGTGGGTGAAGACAATGTGATGGATGTCAGAAACAAAGACAGTGACAGCAGATCTATTCCTACTGGCATGACCCCAAAACCCAGGTCTTCCTCATAGGCAAGAAGAGAGTCCACAGAGGAGTCCTTAATTAGAAGGACCAGGATATGACTGTGAGCGTGAAAGTATGACACAAATAGTGCCAAAGAGACAGACATCTGCCCAAGCACAGACAAGGGAATTAAACCTGGTTTTGTTGCAGATGTCTTTGTCTTCTACCAGATATGGGGTGCTGGGCAGGCAGCAGTGCTGGGACAGCAGCAGTCCACCTGAGCAGGTGTGGTACAGAAGGGAGTAATATGTACCTTCCTCATCAGGATGCTCTGTATTACTTTTGTGGTCTCCCAGCCATTTTGGGTGGTTTCTCCTTGTTATTCACATTTTACTAATTGATACTGAGGTAAAGGTCTCTGGCAACATTAGCTTTGTGAAAAGGCAAGACGGAGGGCAATGCCTTTGCCCTCTTGGTCACCACTTTGTTGTTTAAACCATGCCCTGATTCCAGTCATGGGTTTTGAGACCTTTCTCCTTCTGAAAGTGCACCACAATATGAAAGATAAACAGAACTTGTTCATTTCGAATTTTCCCCCCTGAACATGCCCAGAACACTTCTGGAGATTAACTATTAATCAGCAGATCCTTGTGCTGCTGTTGGATTGTGTGGGGGGCATGTGCAGAGACAGTCTGCTGCCTGCTCACCTTCCACATCACTTGAAACTCCTTCTTATGCTACTTTACTGAGACAGCCTGTCCTCCATACCCCTGGGATCTCCACATTGGTCCAGGTAAATCCTAGGTGCTAAACTGCTTGATCTGGTTTGACCAGACCTGTCCCACCACCTTCAAATCATTGGCCCACTGAGTCAAAAATAATTACTTGTGATTGCTTTTATGACTCCACCACAGACATGAGAGGGGAGCCAACCCTGCTGAGTAGACTGAGAGCCCTTGCACACTCTTTGGTAACCATTAATCTTCTCATTTAACATGGAGTCTATATTTTGTTGAATTTAATTGAATTCACACAGAGGTCTTTAATCTGCACCTGCACCCACAGGAGCAGAAAAATGCTATAAGGGGAACCAGGCATCTTATGTATTAGTAAATGTTCAACAAAACTGCTGCAACTGTCTAGTGTCTGATGTGCTAGTGCTTTCTTATTAATCATTAATTATTGAATCAAAACATTGACATAAGTACTAAAGAGATAAAAAAAACACAAACTGGTTTTAGAATCTAACAGAAAGAAAGTGAGGCATCACATAAAAAGATTTAAAAAATCAAACTAACTACTATTTATGCTGGCCACTCCTGACAAACATTAATGCTTATTTTCTCAACCTTCAGGCAAAAATAAGCTACTAACACCGGTGGTTTCTTGATTACTGGCAGCATTCTGCACAGTTCAAACTGAAAAGTGCAGAATGATTTTGCTCTCCGAACTTCTATGAGGCATCAAAATATCAGAATTTGAGATAAGATGAAAAAAAATTGGATGATTTACTGCGTGCTTGCTTGCTTCTTTTGGGTGCCAGAGAAAATAGGTCTGGAGTACACATATTCTTTACCAGTATAAGAATTTGGAGAAGTAAAGACCTCGATGGTTGTGAGAAGCTACAGCTCCCTCCTTGCTACATGTTGTGGGCAGCACAGTGATGTACAGAACCAGATTCTTTTAGTTCAAAGGACTTGTTAACTGCATTCAGAAATAACTCACCTTTGCTAACAATTGGGTATTAATTTAGAGAAAAAAAATATTTCAAAATCCAAGAAGGACCTTAAACTTTCATTCCCTAGATTTGCTGTCCTAAGTATCCTAAGGAGATTTTGTTCAGACCAGCCCTTCTGTTACATTCAGCTCTCACTCTTCTTGGAGAGTATGGTGAGAAGGTGCTTAAAGTAATAACAGAAGGCAGCAGCATCTGTATAATCTCTCCTTTCCTGCTGTGAAACAAGGAACATGAAATCAGAAATAGCTGTGGACAGCATAGTTGTGGCTAAATGTTTCAGGTCTAATTCTGCAGGCTTTGAGGAAAGGCCTCTTCACCCACGCACCAGGTAACTCCCAAACAGCCTCCAGTAAACATCCTGACCAGCAGGTTTGTTTAATCCTCCATCCCAGGCACACACATACCTAGGAGCCACCAGCCACTAGCAATGTGAATAGAGCCACTCAGACAAAACGTAAGTCCTGGTTTTGTTACAATCCAAGCACAGCCTCTTGTGTGACAGAACTGTGTTTGTTGTAGCCAGAGCAGGCACGGTACTCCTGCCCTTAAAAGCAAATGACCATTTTTTCAATTGCTGATAACTTCATTGAAAATGTGTCTGATCACATGAAAAAGTCACAGTGTCAATCTTGCAGCAAACTGGGGCCAGGCTCCCTCAGTCATGAAAGTGGGTGATGCTGACATATCTTTAAAAAGCATGGTGTTAACTCAGTAGCGCAGGACAAATTTGCAGGTAGAAAAAGAATTAATGGAGAATGTAAAAGGCATATCTGCCTTCAGATGTGGTTGGCAATTTGAGATATTTCTAGAGGCAAACCCAGACTCTCTTGTAGCAGCAGCTCTATTAGAGGCCTAAGATGAATGATGAGGAGAGAGTTGAACAATTTTACTTGTTTCAACTAAAAAAAAAAGCAGCTGGGGATCTTCTAAGTCTTCAATATGTACACAGCGCTGAACTTTGGAAAGGTATAAATTACCACTTTGAGGGGAGAGGTTTGGATGGAGATTATGAAAAATAAAACAGTGACAAGGACAGCAAAATACTGGCCTCAATCAGGTGTCAGTGTGTCAGGATGGAGCTAAATGTAGCCTGTGTTTGTCTCAGTGAAAGAATTAAATGCACACACTGGGGATATGGCAGTTATTTTTTCAGCGACTCTGATAATTCAGCAAAAGGCAGGGATGAGGGGATAACATGGCCAAGTATGCTGATTTCAACAAGATATGATAAAAATCATATTATACTCACACAAATTATATCCTTTTTCCAAAGTTAGAACAAACAATAAATTCAAAAAATTCCTTCACAGCGAGGAGGGGAGGATAAAAGCATTGCTGTTTCCTCTTAAAATCTTGAAGGAAATCAGAGTTCAGTGAGTCATGCACTAGAAATAAGTTCAGTGAAATTCATGTGTGGAAAAATCTCAGGTGAGTAATTGGTGATGAAAGAGTTATAAATAGAGACATTAATGATAGATGCCTTTTAATGGAGCCAGAGCAAAGAAATAAAATGATCTCTCTTTTTTGGTGAAGGTTTTTCTATACAGAGTATTATTTATACCCAAGACCCGGGTGGGTTGATCGGCTGCTTTGGTAGCTATCAGCTGTCATTCCAGACATACAGAAAGATTAATTGAAAATTTGGTTATTCTTCCAGTCAAAAGCTAAACTTCAGTCTCTGTAAACATACCAGGACAACACAGAAATGGTAGTTCCAGGCAAATGTTTGGCCCAGTATTAATTAACAGAGACTGTTGATGTTATGAGTTCTCCAATTGTTCTGTAAATGCCATTTTCCATGTGAATATAACATCCATCAGCAGCTTCAGGAGTCTGAAGGGTCAGGACAGAGGTGTGTATCACCCGGGAGAGCAGGTAAGGATCAAAGGAGAGGCTTTGCAGGGGAGCAGGGCATTTGTTTTCCAGCACAAACAGTAACACTTCTGCAGCTCTGGTTTATCTGCAGTCATGGGACAGGATGGGATTCACCAAAGACAGGAAAGTCTCCACCCTAATTCAGACACAGCTGAAAAAACAACCTGATGCTAGTTCAGTGTCCCAGGAAAGGAAGGAGCAAGGATTTCTTTATGGGCAGCAGAAACAGGAATACAGAAAGCATGAGGAGACAAGTACGTGTGGTTTGCTGGAGCTGGGGTCCAGGGCATTCCTGGGGGGATGTCTTTCCAGTCTGCCAACCTCCAACTCAAAATTACACATTCTGTCATAGGCAGCTGTCTTCTCTCCAGAAAAAGGCGAGATTTAGAAACAAGAAGTGGCCGTGGCTCTTCCCTCACCTCCAGTGAATCTTCCCTGAGGAATGTTTCTGAGGCACAGCAAGAACTTCAAGGCAAAGTGCAATGCATTTTCAGGAGTTGAATGAAAAAAACCTGACACAAGAACAATGTTCCTATGGCTTTACATTTGAAACACTTGGATAGAGGAGTGTCAAGGTTCCACTGGGTAGGAAACACTGGTGTACGGAGATGCACATTACGCTGAGATCCCACATCCTGAGGATGGATCTGGAAAAACAGGGAGGCCAGCTTAGGGAAAGGCAGGAAATCCCTGCAGGAGATGAGGCAGAACAACTGGGCAGGCTGACAGGCTGGAAATCTGTGGGGTTTTTTCCCAGGAGATGGCAGTAAAGGACAATCGCCTTTCAGGCAGCGGAGAGCGGGGCAGTGGAAGCCGAGCTGCTCCTCAGGCAGCACTGCCACCCTCGCCAGTCGCTCCTTGGTACCAGGAGCAAAGCTTTGTTCTTCGCGTCAGTGCTTCTAGCAAGGGTGAGGAGCTCAGTCTTCTACATTTCCATAGAGTAGGTAAATTAAAAGCCTTCTGCTTATCGTGGCAGGATCCCACTCCCACCTCATCCAGACTACAAGAAGCCCAGGAGATCTCTCCTCCAGCCTCCCGCTCACAGGGGTAAGTGCTGCATTCGTGCTGGGTTGCTTCCCACTTTGTACAGTCGTGCTGTGAGACCCTCCACAGACAGACCTCAGCCTTCTGAAGTAACCTCTTCTCATGCTTAATGATCACATTACTGCTTTCCCTGACTTGTTTCTGGCTGAAAACTCCTCAGCTTGGATTTATGACCATTGCTGTCTAGCTGGAGACTTCATTAAAGAGCCTGGCTCCATCTTGTTGGAATCCCTTTCTTACGTACTGAAAAGCTGCTGTCGAGTTTCTCCTAAGTCTTCCCTTATCCAGCTGAACAGGTCCAGAGCCCTGCATCTCTCTTCATGCACATTGCAGGATTCAGGAAAGTGCACCACCCTCTCTGAGCCCAATTTAGACTGCACCCCAAAACAGGCCTGTCAGCCCAATAGTACTTCCTGAAAGAAGAAGGAAGGGAAGGATTTTATTCC